TAGTCTTCGGACGTGCGTGACACCTTTGTGGATACAAAGGAAAATGACGAGGCAGCCGCCGTACTTCCATATACTAAGTGACAGGACTGACGGCCTTATTCCGAGCTGTAAAGCCATGTCAGTAATTCTGTCAACCATTCGCTCGGTGAAAATAAGATCACACCGTATTTGATTCATAATTTATGCATTTAGAAAATTTTTTCCACCGATTGTTGCGCTCGGAAAAGTTGATTCCACACCAAACATGCATAGCAAATGAGTTCAGTTGATTGAACTTGTCGGTCATGTACGTGTTTTCACATAGGTTCAGTTTGTTTGTTGTAAACTAGATATCAGGCACACACAAATCCAAGCTGTGACAGTATCATTCACCAAGAAAAGAGCAATAAAGGTGACTACTTACGCACTAGGAACAATGGCTCACGAGTTTATTGTTGTAAAGTCATTCTCACATGGACAATGATTCATTTGAGTCAACATCCCCAATTTAAGGTGTTTTTCAACCTTACTTGCGTTGTTTTCGTCACTTCTCTCTGCACGCCACCGCTGTAGAGCAGCCAGCTTGTTCGTTCCTAATCCGGCCTTTCAAAACGATGTCAGTTAGCTGAACAAGCCGGTGTCAACAATTTAATATCCATCCATCTATTTCAAGTGATAAAGTGTCTCCGCAGAATTAATTCGAAGGCTTGCAGCAAACAAGGCTTGATCCTCCGGTAGTGGCACCACTTTTTGCAGAACACCTCGGACAATGTGCGAGCGCCTTGGGAAAGTGTAACAGGTTCACTACTTTACCAGTGTCAGGATGAGCTACTCACTTGAAAAGCACACGTTCATAATCAACACGGTTTGGGATTACGTAAAGTTACCTCACTTGTGAATAAAAGCCGCAGTCCGATGACTATCCGTATTGCATGGCGAACACTGAAGTTCGCTTGCCTGCGAAATTTTCGCCCTGGTATCCACTGCCTTTTAACCTTGAAAAATGAAATCTAGCCATCAGTGTACTGTCTTTGCATCTACAATATCCTCATAGACCGTGAGACTCCATTTTATGCTCGTTTGTGTGGGTCGAACGCTCGTCGGGATTTGAACCACAATGCAGTTATGGAGTTCACGTAACCTCCCTGTGAAAGCTTGCTGATATATTGCAGTAGCGTGTACTTTTACCATGCGGGCCTTTGTGCACACTAAGGGAATTGCATGTTCAATCGTTGGCTATAACCTTGGCTACAGCGCATTTTGTCATCGTATCCAATACGTGCGCTACAATCTTCAGATCGCCATAGTGCAAGACTGAAGAAACTTGAGTTCAGGATTACTTGGTCTCCGAGATGGGATACCAAGTCTAGGGGCCTAGAGACTGCACCCAGCACCGATACTAAACTGGCTCTCTTGTGTCGCACTAGTCCTATTACAGTCAAGTTACTCCAAGCACCACTGCACCCAGCACCGATACTAAACTGGCTGTCTTGTGTCGCAGTAGTCCTATTAAAGTCAAGTTACTCCAAGCACCTGTGTGTTCGCTGTACAAATTTTCAGCGGTACGATTTATGATAAAATACCTCGGTGTACGTTAGTAAAGTCGCCCGAAACGCCCATCAATAGACAAATAGGCCACACGTGAAGTGTATACGTATGGCAACTGCATTAAGTAGAAAGCGCTTCAAGTACGGTATCATAGAGACACGGTAATTTGAAGATATGGTCTATGGAAGTTTTTACTTACAGTGAGTGCGTGAGATGTATGTAGCTTCACTGGGTGACCGCTAAACAGAAGATCTCGCTGGGTAAAGTTATGAAATAAAAT